CAGCCAGTTCCCGGGGGGGTACTGCGCGTGGAGGGGGCAGCTCCCCATCCCTGGGGTACCTCGGGGTGCACCCGGACCAGGCTGTCCCCCCTGCTCCCTCGATGCCACCCAGGCGCTGCAGTGATGGTCACTGGGAGGGTGCTGCTGCCCCGGCGTGATGGTGAGCTGTGGCAGGAAGGCCACAACTCCAGCTCTCCCTGCCCCGGCAGACCACGGAGCCCACAGCCATGCCTGAGCCAGGTCCGTTGCCTTTGTCCCACATCTGCGTGAGAGATGGAGAAACTGCAGCATCTTACTGCAGAGCCAGCGCCAGCTGGCTGCTGAATGGCTCCCCATCTCCTAGGTGCACGCTCACAGGGGAAATGTTCCCCTGCTGAGAAAGCTGCTTTGGGATCTGACCTGGGTCCGAGATTTCAGATCCATCCTCTTTGCCCAGCACGGTTGTTTAAGTACACGGCAGGCTGGATGCCAGCGGTGGTGTCAGGGTGATGTCCTCCATTCCCTCTTCCCTGCAGGATGCAATACTTCTACTCACACCTCCCACGGCTACAACCTCTTCTGCAATCTCTGGAGGGATCTGGTGACCCAAACATTACCGCTGAGGTCTTAGGTGGCTGGGGCAGCCAGAGAACCTCCCTCCGAAGGGCTCGGGGCCGGCCGCTGCACACCACGCTCGGCTGCGGTTCCTGGAAGCTCCCACCCTCATTGAGCCCACGAGGCCGGTGGTTGTCGCCTGCAGCCACGTTGCTCACTGCTTTGTTGCAATCCTCTGGGCTCTGGTGTGGCCGGGATGGAGCAAGGAATGTAAACTGAACCTCCAAGCAGAACCACACTGGCCACCTTCTCCCCATTGCTCACAGCTCCCCATCAATGTGGGGCTGAGGGAAGGAGGTGAGAAGGCAGGTGGGAGCGGTGGGGCCAGGGAGAGTGATACTGAGCAGGGTAATGACCACAGTGAGATGGGGACAAGACTCCCAGAGCACAGGGATGTCAAGTCCTGGGGACCAGCCCGTCCCCTGCCCGCAGCCTGGGGGATGGCAGCTCCAGGGACAAGGACCCGTGCCTCATCCACCAGCTCACACGTGGCTGGAGACCAGTGGAGGAGGGAGGAGGGCTGGGGCTTGAACCCAAGGGTTTCACAGCTGTGGAGGGCACCAAATGAACCCAGTCTGTTTACCGGTAAGGAGCTGGGTTTGCTAGACAGACTGGGTGGGGTAGAGCTACTGTCTGAGCTCCAGAAGGGATTTTTAAGGAGGTGCTGCATGGGAAATTTTTTGTTAGGCTGGAGAAACGTGTGAGAAAGAGGCTAACGGAAAGGCAGGGCCCAGAGGAGAGCATTGCGCTGGGTGGAGGGTTTGGTGTCACCGTCCCTGGGCACCGGCTGTGCGAGGAGCTGGGGACACCAAGCGGGGTGGCAGCGACAGGTCCCTGCTCTTGGGCTGTGCTCCGGCTGGAGCTGGCCCAGATTGTGGGGATGGGGAACTGCTGTGAGGGCGATCAGGGGATCCTGGAGACCTTCTGCTGCTGGTTCTCCATCCTGCATCACTCACCTGGGGGCTGAAGTTCCCCTCGTGTGGGCTGTTCCACTCTAAAGGCGATGAGGGTGTGTTGCAGGCGCTGCCTGCCAGCGCGCTCCCCGGGGAGGCTGCGCGGCGTACGCACCAGCAGCCCCATTACCTGCCCGCTGAAAAATGTTGTTCAACTTGTGCATGGGAAGAGGCAGGCGGAGAGCAAACTTGTCCCACACACAGGGAAAGCTGGGAGAGGCTCCCGCTGGCTTTTAAGCAGCACCTCATTAATTTTTTAAATGCACCAGTGTCAAATTAACACACAAAAGAGCAGCGTGACTTTAAATGCAGGTTTCCGAGCTGCGTTTCATTTCCCTTTAATAAGATCATAGCGTTTGCTCGGCGGGCGGCAGAGAACCACGGAGGAGACCTGCGTGGTGGGGAGCATCGCCTGGGAGGGCGATGGCGGTGGGGAGCGGTTGTGCTCTCACCTCTCGTGACTCGGCGGTGCAGGCAGGGAGCTGGCAGAACCCCTGCCCGGGATCTGTGCTTTGGGGTGCTCGCCTAAGCCCCCCATTTGATGACACGGATCTGCTGGAGAAAATGCCCCAGAACCTCTCGTCTGCTCAGCCCTAGCAAAGCCAGGGCTGATCAAGCTGCTCTCGTCCAACGGAGGGAGAGAGGCTGGCAAACTCCAGCTATTTATTTATTCATGTGTGAAGCCACAGCACAAAGTCTGGCTCTCCCTCCTTCCGCTCTTCGTGCTGGGGCCGGTCACTGAACACTGAAGCGAAGGGCACTGTGGGCTCCCTGCTTGGCCCAGGAACCACAAATAAAAATATTGCTTTGCATTTAAAACAAAATAGAAGTTCCCAGGTAGGGGAGGCTCTTCACCTGGCTGCAGCGAAGCCAAGCAGCCCTCGGGCTGCTCGCAGCGTGGTGGAGCCCCTGCAGTGGGACCTGTCCCTGTCCCTGACTGCCCCATCCCCAGCTAATGACACTTGCGGACGTCCTCTCTCCCCGGCATTTAATGACAACCAGCTGCCGGCCCTGGCAGCGCGCAGTGCGGTCTTGGCATGCTGTAGCTAACGAGGGATGCTCGATTTTTCCAGCGCGGTGTCACATTTACAGCTTCTTGCGGGAGCTGGCGGGGCTCGAGGAGGGAAGGAGCGTGGGCAGACAGATGGGGCTGGACGGACAGTGCTGCCTGCTCCGGTTATTGTCTGGTCCTGCACCCTGTGGGTAAGCAGAAAGGGCCCTCAGCAGAAGTATTCCTCAGCTGGCATTGTGCTGAATATAGTGGGAAACTCTGAGTGGAGAGGGGGGAAGGTCCTGCCTTTCCCGCCAGAGCCGGAATGCTGATGCCTCAGCAATGCCATGGTGGCATCTCCCAGAGCAATGTGGAAGCAGGGTGATGGTGGGAGCTGGGCTCTCGGCCAGGGCAGGGCTGGCCTTCAGGATGGTGATGTGTCCTGATGAGGATGGAGCTGGAGAGCACTGAGTGGGGATTCGCTCCTGGTCTGGTTGGGAGCAGGTGCATCAAGACAAGGCAAGGCACAAGCCGAACCTCCGGCTCCCTACATGCTGGCTTGAT